AAAATAATTTTTTATTATTTAGATACTTGATAAGAAATATTGATGGAGGTACACTTTTTTAAGCAAAATAATTAAATACCTTTTTTTGAACATGGATAGTAGAATAGACAAATAGAGAGATGTGAAAGCAACTACATGGTAGATACATATCTAATTTATATAATATTAATATAATTTATTTATGTAATTAAATTTTAAATTATCAAAAAAATAAACTAATTATTAACATCTACGTAGAATGAGATGTATCTCTTTTTTTCATCTAGTAATATAAAAACTTCCTTCAGAAACAAAGTGAGATATAGAAATAAATATAGTAATGGGATACAGTTTTTTTCCAGCGATTTAAAAAAAAAAAAAAAAAAAAAAAAAAAACCAGAGACATAAATGTTATATTGGGTTTTAAAGATTTTTTAAGCTAAAGTTTTCAATGATTTTTCGAGTTAAAGTGTTTATTTTAAAATTTTTTAATCCTTTATAGAGCATTTTCAGGTTTTTGGTCGCTCTGAAGAATTTTGGGTGCAAACGAACATATGTTGATGGAGAACTATGCAGAAATGTCTGAAGTTTGACATTCGTTGAAGTACTTCCCACCGATGGATCGAGCTGAATTTTGGACATAAACTAGATCTTTGAGTTAGCTTTCATTTGGAAATGGTAACGGTGCGATCAAAAACTGATGCCAGTTTTCGTTAAAGCAGTCTAGTCTGGCATCCTGATGAAGCATGCACAGAAGGAGTCATCGGAACGATTGTTGCACTTCAAGTATGATCTTTCCGGCATCAAAAAAAAATTTACTGTATTTTAAGAACGATCGTTCTGGTATAGAACGATCGTTTCGAGCCCTAGTTGAAAAAGGCAATCTGCAACTTCTTATTTTGTCTTGGAATCATCCTAACTCAACTTATTTCGACCCTACACCTAAATATACTTATTTTTTAGCCATTGTTTAGGCAATACATACATTATTTGCTATTCTTTCTTTTGGTTTTGGTGCTTTGTAAGCTTGAGGAAAAGAATCTCTACATCTTTTAAGAAGATTTTTGAATCCCTTTGGATTTCTTATTTATTGATTATGAATTTCTTTTCATAAGAGAGGAGAGAGCAAAAGGATAAAGGGAGATCCTCAAGTGACTTTAATACCCCAGAGTTGTGATGGAAACACAATTGAGTATGAGGTGAAGTATAAAGGAATCTCAAAGCTTTTCTCTAAATTTAAAGCAGTTCTTACATCTGAGATGAAGGAGAAAGGATAAGATGCTGTTAAAGAATTAATGAACAGAGTTTTGAAGCTGAAAGTGTTTGAATGTGGAGCTTGTTTTGAAACTAGTTCTCATAATCAGCCTCATTAGTCCCATCATCGAAAGTCAAGCTAGTGATTTAAAACAAACGCTTAGTGTGAGGCAACTCACCAGTAAGTATACATATTTTCGTTCTCTTTTTGTTTTCTAACTTTTAATTTTAAGTGTTTCAAGTTTTAAAAAAAAATTCCAAAAAAAAAAAGACCAAACCCACCCTCACCTACCTTTCAGCCATGAACAGGTAAGTTTTCTCATATTTTACTGGTTTCTTCATCCTTACCCTCCTCTTCTTTCTTTCTTCACATTGAGGACAGTGTGATTTAAGTCTGCGGGAGGATGTTCATCCCTAATAACACCACCTTTCTTTTGTTTTTCCTTTAAGACATTTTTATGTTTTTTTTTAGTTAGTCTAAGTTGTTTTATTGAGTCAAAACTGTGTTGGGAACTATGAACTTATTGCATTGATGTTTGAAGAACCATTACTCCAGCAATTGATTGCAGATCTTACCAGGTGGAACACTGTGAGTGGATCAATCTAACAGAGAAAGTTCATGTTTCTAGAGAGTTTGAAGGATCCAAAGTTTACTCTGCACCTAATGAACTTTAACTTCTCATCTTGGGGCTTGGTATACATTGAACTTGATTCCTCTTTCAGCATTGACAAGACAGGTTATGTGTAGTCTCTCTATGATTTTTTCTGATAAAAAAAAGATTAATTTTAAGAATGGTGAGCATACACTCATGAACATGTCTCCTCACAAGGAACACAAGTAGTGAGTACTCATGAACCTGTCTCCTCACAAGAAACACAAATAGTGAGTAGGGACGTTCTCCTCACAAGAAACACAAATAGTGAGTAGGGCCGTTCTTAGGCTAAGAAAAGAAAAGAATAGAAATTTCACCATAGAAAAGTAAGGAAAAATCGACCAAGGGAAGAGAAAATAAGAGAGTTACACCGAGATTGTCTGTGTTCATGAGCTTATAAAGGAACTAATCTATAAGTTTTTTTAATCCATGCTCCCTTGATGAGACTGCGCACCTATATGAATTAAATGAGTCAACAATAGAGAATTCAGATTTCTCTAAGGGATGATGAACCATATTTGGAACGACTGCTAAGTTTGTGGTAAGTATACTGACATATTCTCTATGTTGAATGTATGGCATGTGGGTTCAAGAGTGTTGATCAATGTGACATTCCAGAGAGTTCATAAGTTCCCGTGTTTTCAAACCTCGACTCTATACTTAGTATTTGCTTGAGGACAAGCAAAATGCTAAGTCTGGGGGAATTGATATATTGGGTTTCTAAGACTTTTTAACATAAGATTTTCAATTGCTTTCGAGTTAGTCTTTTAGTACTTAATAAAGTATTTTCAGATTTTAGGTCGCTTTGGGAGAAAATGAGGAATTTTGGGGTGCAAACAAACATATGTTGATGGAGAACTATGTAGGAACATCTGAAGTTTGGCATTCGTTGAAGTACTTACCACCGATGGATCGAGCTGAATTTTGGACACAAGCTAGATCTTTGTTATATTTCATTTGGAAGTGTTTTGCAGCCAATCTAACGGTGCGATCAAAAGTTATGCCAGTTTTCGTTAAAACAGTCCACTCTGGCGTCCAGATGAAGCATGCGCAGAAGGAGTCATCGGAACGATCGTTCCACATCAAGAATGATCATTCCGACATAAAAAAAACAAACCGTTAACTTTTAAGAACAGTCGTTCCCAGCCCCCAGACGAAAAAAAGACAATCAGCAGCTTCTTGTTTTGTCCTGGAATCATCCTAACTCAACCTATTTCGACCCTAGACTATATATATTTATTTTTAGCCATTGTTTAGGCAAGACAGACATTGTTTTCTATTCTTTCTTTTGGTTTTGGTTCTTTGTAAGCTTGGGGAGAAGAATCTCTACAACTTTTAAGAAGATTTTTGAACCCCTTTGGATTTCTTATTTATTGATTATGAATTTTTTTTCATCTCCTTGCTGTTTCTCTGCTTCCATGCATGAGTAGTTTCATAGTTAGGTTTAGAGTTTTCAAAGGATTCATGAATGACTGAACTAGACATAGATAGGGTCATTCATCTGCTGTCTTCACTTATTGTTGTTCTCATTGCTTATATTATTTTGATCAGATAATCTCTGATTTAAGGTTTAATTTATTCATGAAAGTGCTTTAGATTGCTTGATAGAACATAGGTCAGCAGATTGTCCTTACCCAATGAAATCTGATGTTAAGGCAATATGTAAACAAATCGAACCTGCTCATTAATGCTTGTTTAGAATTTTAAGTTCAAACGAAAGTTTATAATCTTAGGTTGCTAGACAAAGTCTTTGATGCCATGAAAGTGGATTAATTATACATATATGTTTGAGTTCTAGATTGTTCTATAAACTGCCCTGAATAACTGTATGTTTCTTCATCTCTGAAATCCTGTGAAATACCTAGACGTAGCGCTTTCTTTTATTGTCTTTAAACCGCTTTTACTTGCTATTTTCGTTTAACCTTTCAAAACAACAGCATATCATTGTCGTAGTTTAGTTTCATCTTAAAGAATAGTAGTATGACACTTGGTCCTCATAGATTCGATCCTTAAATTACTACATGACTTATTGTACACTTGCAGTAGATTATATAGGGTTAAAACTCTGTGTATCAATAAATCTTAAACATTAGGGGACAACAATTAATACAATGTAACCTGAAAAGAACACAAGATTGGAACAAAAAAAAGAAGCCTGAAGAGATGAATCACCGCTTAGACTGATGAAATTAAACAGAATAATATTACATCCATTAATAAGTTTAAGGAATTAAGATCTTTTAGTGTTTCAAAAAAAACTTTCAATCTATTGAAGCCATGAGACCACAAATCTGCAAATCCACTCGAAAATTGTTTTGATCCAAGATTGAGTTTCAAAATTCACATGCGAGAACGTAAAACCACTTGAAAAGACAGCAACCAATTGGGAATGTGCCAAGAGATGAACAGTGAAAAACACTTGCTCTTCCCAACTTCATATATCCAATGAAACTGAAACGTACACTCTTCAAAATACCAGATCTGACCACAAAACACCACCGTACACTGGCAAAGACCACCGGACACAATCGCTATTTTCTATGTTTATGGTTGCAGCTAAATCTTTTTATAAATAATAATTAGAAACAAAAATTAAATTAAAAAACATTTGAATTATACTTTTATAAATAGAAAAATATATTTGAATTGTACTTTTAAAAACAAGAAAAAATATTTGAATTGTACTTACCTTTATGCAATTCCATTTTTGTGTCTCTCCTATGTACGTGTCATATTCCATAGAGCTGGTGATGTACTCTCAGGGAATAAGATTCTGATATGCTTCTAGAATGAGTCAGAACACAGAATCTTACTAGGCTTCTTCATTGTCTATAATCAATTTGATGGAAGCAAAAATATTCTTTTGAATTTGGAAAAGGAAGACCGTTCTTTGCTTCATTCTCCTTTTGGAATTTATTCCTTCTAATGGGACTTTGCCTTTTTGCGTGCCTTTACGTTCAGAAATTTCAAACTCTCAGTTAACCTTTTCTCATGTGTGTAATATTCTTCACAGTTGTCATATAACCCCCAGGCTTATAGCTTAAGCTCATGGTTTAGTTCCTGAAGTTGTGTTTCGTACACTATTTCTCAGATTCCTTGGTTTCGTTTGTCTACATGGGAGCCAGATTTTCACGTATAGCAAAAAGGTTTCTTCCTAAGTATAAAGTAAGGATTTTGATGGTTGGTCTTGATGGTTCAGGGAAGACTACCATCCTTTACAAGCTGAAGCTCGGTGAGGTTGTCACAACTGTGCCTACTATCGGTATGTCACTTAAACTCTTCTTTTCTATAGGTTTTTTGGTTTTTTGCTTCTCAAAACTTCTCTTTGTAGATGATTGATTATGAAATTAGAGCAAGATATTTGATTCAAATATAATACTTTCAGCATTCTCTGTGGATCATAGCTAATGTGTAGATAGTTTAAGTTTATGTCGACGTTGGGTTAATTTTTATTCCACATCGGTAGGATTGGGATTAACTTGTGCCTAGGAAAGTCACATGAGTACTCTCACTATTCATATAGAACTCACCCTCAAAAGCTAGCTTTTGATTGAGGTTGTTCATGTGCCTTTATAAGGCCCTAGTTAGTACCACTCTTAACTGATGTGCGATATTTAACATTAAAAAAAAGTCCATTTCTGACAAAGAAAACCGTCTGAAATGACTAATGGGGTTTCGACGAATTAAAAAAAAAACAGAAAAAAAATCAAGCCTCTCGAAATTCCGTTGGAAATGACCATCTTGTAGTTTGTATATGCATTGGGATCATCAGATTTAAACCATTTTAGCCATGTTTGTTTCATCAGTTGTATCTTAATCTAGATAATTTATTCAGATGGTTCATTGACATACTCCATTTAAATGATGTATATAATGTTGTTTCATTTTTCATCTCCATTAGATTTATTGTTTATGGTCGGATCTAGATGATTGATTTGAATGTAGTTATATTTATTTAAAATATTGATCTAAAATATATTTACTAACCAAATAATTCCAAATTATTATTTTTAATACTGATAAATTGATTACTCACATAAATTTATATAAAGTTATAAATTAAGATTCAAATTTGCATTTAAATAGATTTATTTTCACAAATTTAAATTAGAAAAAGGGAAAAATTTACACAAATATCATGTCACATAAATTTATAAATCCAAATCTAAATTTACATTTAAAATGGATTTGTCTTCACAAATTTTTTGTTTATGATGGGAAAACAAAATTTCTGAGTTTTGATGGGAAAACAAAGTTTTGCAATTGGGGTGGAAAAATGTTTTCTCAGTTTTTATGGAAAAATGTTATTTTCAGTTTGATGGAAAAATACAATTTCTTAGTTTTGACGGGGAAACGAAACTTTTTGAAAATAAAATTTCTTAGTTTTGATGAAAAAGTACGCTTTTCAATTTTGGCAGAAAATAAAATTTCTCGGTTATGGCGAAAAAATATGATTTCTTGGTTCTGGTGGAAAACTAAAAATTTTCAGTTTTGATGGAAAATAATTTTTTTTTTTGTTTTGATGGAAAAATAAAATTTATCAGTTTTAACGGAAAAATGTGATTTTTCGGTTTTGGTGGAAAAATATGATTTTTGGCTTTGACGAGTAAATATGATTTTTTGGCTTTGACAAGAAAAAGTGATGTATCAGTTTCGACAGAAAAATAAAATTTCTTGGTTTTGGCGGAAAAATTCACCTTCTTGATTTTACTGGAAAAACGTGATTTTACCAATTTAGAGAAAAATATAATATTTTAAATTTTGTTAGAAAAACATAATTTTGTGGTTTCATAAAAAAGAGATTTTTTGATTTTGTTAGTTTTGGTGAAAAAATATGATTTAATGAGTTGTTTAGTTTTTTTATTAAAGTTTAAGAATATATTAGCCATTTGTTATTGTGTACTGAATTATCTATATCCAAATGGTCCCATTGGCTCATCCAGATATTTCTCATAGATTCGCCTAATTTTTTAAAAAATCATCTAGATGATTTATTTGAATGCTTTTTGATTTTGTCACTAAACAAAAAAAAATCTCATCTTCATTCAAATGACCTATCTAGATGGAGAAACAAATGAGCATTTATCAGTTTTTTTTATTCTTTTACGATTTTCAGGGTTCAACCTCGAGACTGTAGAATACAAAGGCATCAATTTTACTGTATGGGATATAGGAGGACAAGAGAAGGTAGATTCCGTGTCTTTTTCATCTTACGTACACTCATCTCTCTGATATTGGACTAAGCAACACACACATACAAAACAGTGCCATAATTTTGTCTATTACATTTTTGATCATTTTTATTGATCTGATAATAAATAATGTTGACATTTTTTTAACAGATTCGCAAATTGTGGAGACACTACTTTCAGAACTCGCAGGGACTCATATTTGTGGTGGATAGCAGTGACAGTGCAAGGATATCAGAAGCTCGTAATGAGCTGCATCGCATACTAACTAATGTAAAATAGTATGAAAATTCTCTTTCAAGTATTACTCAGTTCTCTCCTCTTTTTATATCCTTACAACTTTCGTATATTGGTTTACAAAATGTACAGAATGAACTAGAAGATGCATGCGTACTCGTCTTTGCGAACAAGCAAGATTCAAGAAATGCATTACCGGTAGATGAAGTTGCCCACAAACTTGGTCTGCATAGCTTATCCAAACGTTGTTGGTAATAAAAACGTCTTTTCTTATTCCATATGGCTTGTAATACATTTAGAGATCGAAGATGAACTGAGCTGTGTAATTATGATTGGTACAGGTTTATACAGGGAACATCGGCCATCTCTGGCCAAGGTTTGTATGAAGGGCTTGAATGGCTCTCCAAAACTATCCCAAACAAACCGGAACGGTCTACTTCGTTGGGAAGTTTCCGGAGTGATTCCTCCGAGAGGAAGCTAGTCCGAGGTATTAAAAGACTGATCACATAGTTGTCTTCCGTGTTCTAAGAATTCCTATGATATAGCGTTTTGCTTTACACGTTGATCATATAGCATATATTCTCCTAATGAACTTTTACCACCTTTCTTTCGTCCGTTCTTTTCCCCTCTTGTCTTTCATATTTAATTTGTTTTTCTTTATCCCAAAATTTCATATTTTTTTCACATAGTATTATTCTTTTCATAACTTGAAATTCGGGACCCTAAATAGTCCCTTCCAAAAAAGTTAAACTCATAGCACAATAGATCGTTTATCACTAAGCCACCAAACCTTTCATCCTACAGTTTCTTTTTCCATATTGTAAAATGAGTGAAAACTTACAAAAATATATTATTAGAAACAAATAAAGTATATATAACAGTCTTAAACATCATAATTTTGTTTTGGTAATAAACTGGACTAATCAAGTTGGCCTGTGTGTGATCTTTTTATACCGAATACAAGTATTTAAAAACCAAATTATGTCTAGATGAACTCATCATTAAACGTTCAAACAGAATACGCTCATTAGTTTATTGTCATAATTTGTTTATTCTTTATTTGTTTATTCTTGATGTATAAATAATTCTATAATGTTTAGATAATGGATGAGGCTCTTACCAACCTTCTTGGTGAGCATAAAACTATGTTATGATGGTAATAGAACCATTAATTATGGTTGAATTTATTTAGTTATTATAAAGTTAGGCACTAAAAAATGGGATAGCCAAGAAACAGCTGTCCCCGGGTTAAGCCGCTGATACCGATAGTGACAAAATTGGTTGGTACCAATCCCACAAATAATTATTTTGTTTCAACAAATATAAATAACAGCTACCTTCTTTCATGTGCGTATCTTAGAAAATAGACAAAGATGTTTTCTGCCATTTCTTAACTCTTTAATATTTGATTCCGTTCGTGCAATTTTTCCTTTTGGGTAACTTGTATATGTTAATACAAATCGGCAATTCAAAATTTACGGTTTATATTGGTTTAAAAATTATATTTAGTTTTTAAAGACTAAAAGTCAAGAATTAGAAAAGTAAATATGATTCGTATTAAATAATAAGATAACTTGGATGAAATAAATTCAGTATATATGGAGGGAATAGAACAACTAAGTACAAGAGATGTTACTTCAGAGTGAAAAAATTAAGAGTAAAAAATACAAACAAACATTTAACTGGGTCGGAATTTTCACATCAGCAGTATAAATTTTTTTTTTATTAAATAGTATATAGCGAATCAGAAATTAGAGAAATATTGATGCCACAGCTAAACTGTTACAATAATTTTATTGTAACATGTTAAATTTGTATTTGGATGTTTAATTTATAATTGGAATGAACGCATAATTTTGTACTTTTGTTCTACACTAGGTATTTATCCGTGCTACGCTGCGGAATATTTTTCTAAATTTTATATATTTTTTTTAATATAATAAAATTATTTTTATAATGTAAATGAGTATTATATTTGTTTTTTATTAGCTTACGTTATGTATTTATATGTTTTAAATCTGAATAAATATTGTATAGTTTTTTTTTAAATTATAATTTGCTATTAAATTGTAAGGCTAAATAATTATAAATATATATATAAGAATAAAGCAATACATTTTTAGTACCTACATGCTAATGGCAAATGTAATATATTTTCTCCAATAAATTACCACTTGATTCTCTTTTGTAATTATGTAAAGCAAAATGTCATTTAAAAAAAATTATTAATTAATATGATTATCTTGAATTATAAAATTTATTTATCAAATAGTTATTATAAACATATGTTTCTAAAACTACCAAACTATAATCAATAACATTCATATCAAACCATTGTTATTGCTTTAGAACAAAATAGAAAATTATGTATGAACTGTTCAAATATCGTTTTAGTTGAAGTTAAATAACTAAATTTGGTTACTGTAAACATACTTTAACTTAAAAATTTAGCACAGAGAAATTTTATCTTCTTACAAAAACCGAGAAATCGCATTTTTCGTCAAAACCCAAAAACTGCATTTTCCTATTAAACTGAGAAATCGCATATTCCCGCCAAAACAAAAAAAAAATCTCGTCAAATCTAAAACCTATAATTTTATTTTTCCACAAGAACCTGTGTTTTTCTGCCAAAACCGAGAAAATTATGTTTTTTCACAAAAATCAAAAAAATTCATCTTCCTACAAAAACCAAAATAATTGTATTTTCCCGTCAAAACCAAAAAATTTATTTTCCTGCAAAAACTGAGAAATCGTCTATCCCCGCCAAAACCAAAAATTTCATTTTCTCGTCAAACCAAGAATCACGCTTTCTTACAAAAAAGATAAACTATAATTTCTCGCGAAAACCAAAAACTGCATTATCTCTCATGAAATTGGGTTTTTCCCGCGAAAACTATGAAATTGTTATGTTATCTGTTCAAATTTTTGCTGATGTGTGAGCTTCTTAAAGCCTTTTGCGTTGTTGTCATGGAAACATAGTTAATGTTGAGCCTATACTTGTTTCAATCATATACGTTTATGTCAAACGAACAAATAGCTAAAAAGTTTTTTTATTATTTATTTGATGTTATTTATTATTTGGATTTAACTTTGATTAAAAAAAAGAAAAACAAAGATTTAATTATTTATTTATTTTTATTTATTAGTTGGGCTTGAGTTTGACAAAAAATAAAAATAAAGATTTTATTTTATTTGCTGTTATTAATTATTTGGCCTTGAGTTTTAGTAAAAAAAAAAACAAAAATTAATAGAAAAAATATTAGATTTTTAATGGGTTTAAATTTAAAAATTAAAATAAGTAGAGTTGTATCAATAAAATATTTTGATTGGTGATTATTTTGGTGAAATGTTATGTTTATAAAACTTTAATAATCTGATGTGTCATCTGTAAGAGAGAGATATGAATGTTATTATTGTATTGATTTTGTTATTTATCTATGTGAATATCTAATTTATCTGGTAGATTGTTATGCCATTATCTAAGTGCTTTCAACCACTTTCACTTGGCCAGTCGAAATGATATCATCATTTAGGTCTATTTAAAAACCCAATGGATGGACTACTTAACGGCTACACTTATCCTGAGAAGATTAGTCGAATATTAAAAAGTCAAAATATTGCAAGTTTGATAATCAACTACTCTTCTTTAAAACTGAAAGTTCTTAAGGTGCCAATTAAAAGTGATTCAGCATTGACACAGTAACCATTTGGAATAAAATTAAACATAAACATATTATGCAGTTTCATGTTAGTGACATTGATGCTTATCTAATTTGACCTTTGGGACATCGGTCTATATATAATGCGTGGTAAGAAATAAACTATGATAGAATCACACTAGTCTATATATAGAGAATCAAAAAATTTAAGAGGGTCAAGCAGTAAAGGTAGGGCTTAGACTTGGTTAACGCGCTAGCCGCCTAGAGAGAAAAGTTTTTTTGAGGGTTCCTGGCTGATGGCCGGATGCTTCTTTAGCTCCGCCATCGGTCAGACGATTTATTTTGTTAGTTTTCCATATTATTCTTTTTGTTTTGGTTAGTTTTTTTTTTTTTTTTGATCTGAAAGAGCTTTTTTGATTGATTCCTGGTTTCTTCTTCTTTTTCATCGGTGTTTTTCTTGGCTTTTGTCGGTTCTATCTGCCGCCTTCTACAACGTATGTGTTTGGCTTGGTGTTGCGTTTGGACAACTCAGGTTAGTCTCCTCCACTAGAAATTACAACCAGATCTGGTTGAGATCTGTATTTACTTTTGTCTCCGCAGTACCGGATCTATGTCGTTTTCTGTCGACAATATCGGTTACGACATCTTTAGACGGTTTTAAACCATTTCAATAGAAGCTCCGTCATATCAATTTAAGAAGCATATTTCATAATTGCCAAAGTTTACTCATTAACAAGTGAGAACAAGAAGATTTGAAAATCAGTTCTAAATATTTTTTCAAATTCTTTAGAAATCTTTGTTGATTAGGTTTTAGAAATCTTTGTTGATTGGATTTGTAAGAAATCTTATAATCATGATAGCTTTTTAGTTGATCTCTTATTGTAATCACCTATCAGCGACTTATTATATTCAATAAAAATTATAATAAGTGTTAAAAAAAGACTTGGTTAACGCGCATTGATGTTAACAAAATCGCTTTGCTTGTATCCCCATCCATCCATTTAATAATAAACTTGTGAATTCATATTATTGGGTATCAGGACTTTTCTGGATATTCTCAATCCGGTTTGGTCCACTTGACTTGGACAGTATGAAATACATGTTTGTTGATTTACAGATTATTTAAAGTCGTCTATTTGGCAAATTAGTAATTAACTGAAACTTTTAGTATTTTAAAATGGGGTGGTCGATTCGTCCAGCATTCGGGAAGTTGGTGTCTCTCTTCGGTCTCTTCGAGATAGTGGTCAAACAGTCCATGCGCTTTTAGGTCTCTGATTTCGTTGGTTTTGGTTTATCTTTGTTTCGTCTTTCTTCATAGAACGTCAATTTTGGGCTTGTGAAAGCTTAGATTCTGAAAAAAAAAAATTAAGATGAACCTAATGGTGTTAGTTTTGTTGTTGGTGTGGTTTAGTATGAGATTATCACAAACCGGTTTATACTAAACCATATAATTCGTCTTGGTTAGGTTAATGTAAACCAGATAATTTTAATGCGAATAAATGTAGGTGTGATCGTTAAGATGAATAATAAATTTTCTCATTTTCACTCTTATTATTTATTTTCTCTCGATCATTCATGATCTCTAACATAGTATCAGAGCTTTAAGATTTTTTCAAACAGAAATTAAAGTAAATCTTAGAGAATTCACTAGCTTATTCATTGGATTTTCTAATGAGTTTAATACATAATACTATTTCGATTGGTCAAGTAGCAGTAATTTAAATATTTCATATTAATTTTTTTTATCTCTATATACGGCGAGTTCGCCTAATGATCTCTTCTCTCTGTTCTCCAAAGTAGTCTCTTCCTGAATTTTTTCTGGTGGCCAGCATTTGGCTGCTTTTTCAGAGCCGGTGCTGGCCTATTTTTCTTGCTTTCTTCTCTGTTTTTTTTTGATTAACATAGATTCTTTTTTTATTTTGAGCATAATTTCGATTTTTTTGAGTTTAATTATCAGATCTGGCCAGATCTACTGGGTTTTTCTTAGATTTGTAAACTAGATCTGTTTCTTCTGGTGACTTACATTGTTTGCATATTAATATGTCTTCCCTTTGCTTCTTTGGAGACTGGTTCAGGTCCTATCTCTGTCGAGCTTTCACCGTTCTTCTTCCTTGGAGTTTGTTGTTATTCGGGATTGGATCATTCGCTCCCTAGCGCTTTCTTACGGATCTGTTTGTGATCTTTTCTCAAGCTTCTTTCTAAGTGTTTTCAATCGTGCTTTTGGAAAGTTGTTCGACTATGACGTTCCTGAAAAGTCTCTGGTTTATGTCTTGCCGGATATTAAAGCTTTAATTTTCTAAAATCAAAAGGTAGATTTTGTAGAAGACTTTGTTTATCGCTGGTGAGATCAGAGACCTATTTGGTAATTCTTTGGATCTTCAGAAGAATGAAAGGTACATTGGTTGGTAAATGTTGTAATTTCTAGGTTAAACTTTCTAAATCTTTTTGTGTGTTGGACTAAAAACTGTGTTAGTATTAATTTTCTACCTTATTTTCTTCCTTTGCATTAGTCTTTGTATTCCAACAATATATTTCAAAAATATATCCTTCAAATGACAAAAAAAAAAAACTTCCTCTAATTTAAATCGACAAAACGTTTTTTTTTTAAATGAGAACCATTAGATCACCACCACTCGATTTAGTTTTGTTGTTAGTTTTATTATTTGTTTGTGTTTGCGTTTTTCATTGACGTATGACTCATCACTCATGTATCCAAACTTGTATTCGACCTTATATATCTGTTAAAAAATAAAATTTAAGACGAAAACAATGGGGGACCGGTCTACAGTCTCATCAATAATTTTGATTCTGATTCGAACCATATAAAATTTAGGCATTTGTTTAACGGTACACACGGTCAAAGTTTTCAATCCAAAACCATGCATGTAGCGTTTACTATTCAATTTTGACTTACTCCAAAGCTAAACCGACCGAAGTAATAAACTGATTTATAGTCGTACAACAAATCAAATTAATCAAACTTGACTCTAAAGCTTAATATAGTTTGGAGGTCCACTACGGACAACTTGAGGCGATTTCTCTCTCTTTGAAAGCTCCGCCTTCTCTCTTGTTCTTCTATTCTGATTTCCGTTCTTCAGTTTCGGCGGCTATTTTAGCGCCGGGGCTGTGTCTCTTGTTGTTTGTTTGTCTCCTTTTCTCTTTGCCGGTTTTCTTTTTAGATGTTTGGATTTAATTTTAGTGATATTTTCTTAGATCTAGATCTATAGATCTGATCTCTGATTTTGGATCTAGTTTTTTTTCCTTTCCTCTGTTTAGATCCGGCTTTTATTTTGTTTTTTTGGATTTTGGTTCTTCTCGTTTCTGTCTTGTTCAAAAGCGTTAAGTGTGATCCTTGTTGGTGTTTCGTGGTTCTTCTTCTGCGTCCCCTGTCTTCTTTTCCCAGTGTTTTGTGTTCGGCTTGGCCTTGCTTTCTGGTTTCGCCATAGTGTTTAGTGTTCGTTGTGGAGGTATCTACTAGGCTAGCTCTATTCCTTTTTAGGTTTGGAATTAGTTTCTAGACGAAGCAGTGGTTTTGATCGTCAGATCTTCTCTTGTGAGGCGGTGAGCAGTCTTTGGTCTGTAGGTCCTGGAGGTTGCGTCGTGAGTGTCCGCGTGTAAGAGTTGATGGTCTCCTTTGGCGTTTTTCCAGATGGTATTTCAAGGCTCTTGTTCCTTGAGCTTTTGTCGTCGCAAGGCTTTGGTTTTCAGAAGTTGTGGTGTTTGTAGTAATTTCTGATGCTGCTGATGGGTTGATTTCAAGCTCTTTTCTGCTGGTGTTGATGCTGCTTTGAGCTTGGAGTAGTTCTCTTTATCTTGGTTCTGCTAAAGTGTCTTGGTTGTTGGTTTTTAGCTCAACTTCTGTTTCTCCAATTCGTATAGAAAAGTTCGTATCTGAAGCTTCTTTCATCAGTCTCAGTTTTTAGTAACATTGGTTCATCTTCTTGTATCTCTCTTTAGTATTGAATATCTTCTGGTTTCCCTTGTTTGGGCTTTGATTCCGGAGATTTATCGTTTTTCCGCCGGCATGTATCTCATCCTGTATCTCACCCTTTATTTCAACTTTAATTTTTAATAATAATCAGATGACAAAAAAAGACTCAAAAGCTAAACCGACCGAAATAATATTGTATTTTAACAGAACCTGTGTAACCCAATAGAATAGACTACAAAACCCATTCGTTATGTTTTAGGTGATTTTTTAAATTAGATTGTGTACCTGCAACGCAGTTTTACTTCTTGTCAACATACGAAGATCTCGATGAATAATATTATAATTAGTATTTCTCCAAGACTATAGAGTAAATAAAACTCAGAAAAGTCATTACACAAAAATATAAAATGCATTTATATTACAAAATCACTGACACGAAAAGGTCACCGACACCGACAAAACTAAGACTTTGGTTTTCCACCATAAGCTTGCTTACAAATGGAAAATGGTTTCTGCGATGGAGCACACATCTTTGCTTTCCCTGGACATCCCTGTAGACAATTATTCCCCAAACTTCCCACCACTTCCGATTCCGGTTTAACAAACCTCGCCGGAGGTTTCCCGGTCAAGAAATTCCCGTCCAAGAAAAGCCGTCTCAACGTCTTGCTCCGTTCGTATTCCGACGGAATCACGCCGTGAAGCATGTTGTATCTCATAGACAACGAGGAAAGCCTCGTGTACGCCGCGAAACTCGCTGGAGCGTTTCCCGCGATTCGATTGAAACCTAGCTCCACCGCCACGAGGTCGCTTTCTCCGGCTACTTTCGGAGGGAGAACTTCGATTCCCGTAATACTATTGTTCGCTAGATCAACTTGTTGGATAGATTCGAGAAGAAAGAACCAAGCTCCGAGTGTTCCGGTGAACGAGTTCTCAGCGAGTTCGACGATTTCTAACTGAGTTGACTCAGTGAATGATTCTTTAGAGATGGGTCCTGATAAAGAATTCGACTTTACAGCAAGGTCTATGAGATTTCTCGGGAGCTTTGGGATTGATCCGGTGATCTTGTTGTAGCTAAGATCGAGCTGTCTCAGATTCAAGAGCGAGTTCATTGATCTCGGAAGCGAACCGGTGAGCGAGTTGTGAGATATGTCAATGGACTCGACCGAGATAAGCCGAGTTACCGATTCGGGTATAGACCCGGAAAACGAGTTTGACCGGAGAATCAAGGTCTTGAGACTTGTGAGGGAGGAGAGTGAATATGGGATTAAACCGTAGAAATTGTTGTCGGCGAGATCGAGTGTGATAAGCTCTGTGAGACGAGAGATGAGCGGCGTGAGAGGACCCGAGTACCCGGCCGGGTCAAGAGTGAGTTGGCTCACACGTGTGGAGTCGAACGAGCAAGTGATGCCGCACGTGAAATGTGTTCGACGCGGTGATGCGCATGGGTCGGAGGAAGCAAAGTCCCAGCTTGCAAGACAAGACCATGGAGGGATTGAGCTTGGTTTCACGGCGGCTTTGAAGGCTTTTAAAGCTGACACGTCGGATTGTGACGTCAGCGCATCGGTGGAGAATAGGAAGGGAAGAAAAAGAAGAAAGAAGGAAATGGACGAAGTCATTATTGTTTGGGTATTTTATGTGTTTTGTGTGAATGAATGATGTCAAGAAGTTAAAAGATTGTTTGCATCTTTATATAAAGGCAACTCTACGTGGTGGAGGTCGGGTTTGCCTTTTGGTCGTCTCTCTCCATAGGTATAAGGATAAGCGTAATGCTTAAGCAACAATCAAATGTTTGAATAATTATAAGGAAGTAACGGTCTATCAAATTTTAGTGCCACATCGTGTGTTTTATTTTGGGTTAATTGATAACAGGTTTTTGGTGCGTGTGTGTGTGATGATGCAAGAATGTTATCAAACTCAAACACCTATATGTTGTAGTATAGAATGCAAGAGAGTATCAATCTATACTTAAGAGCTAGAAAGTGCAATGAAAATGCAAATATTATGCAAAGCTAAGCGAATGGCAAATGATTTGTAAAATCTATAAAAACTAAGTGTAAGCGTCAAATGCAAAGCAAAATAATTTTAAAATTCTTGGAAGAGGGTTAACTACCACGAGGAACAAGCGGAATAATTAAAATGCAAAGCTACGAATTACTAAAAATCGACTAGTGGATCGACCACAGGATCGACCGCTAGATCGAGCAACAACGATCGATCTCGTCTAAACAACCCTAGAATGATGAAATGATGCGATATGCGATTGACAAGAACACAATTTTATGATGATGGAATGATATTAAACGACTTAAGATACTAAGAAGAAGGGTCTAGAGTCGAGGTTCATATTCGCGGACCTCAAAAATCAAAGCTTGGTTTGAAAACGTTGGATCTACTCTTCTTGAGAGGTTCTCTAGGCCTTGAAAACAAAACAAGATCCATCCATGGCGTGTGGTATGGATCACTCCTTCATTTTCTTTTCCAAACCCATGGCTTTTGGTGGAAAAAGAGATTGAAGGGCATAAAACATAGATTTCAAACACACGGCCTAACTAATCCCCTAAACAACCATGGCGTGTGGGAAAGGAAGGATTAGCCTCTAGGATTCGACTTTAAGGGACATTTGGATCCCGTCAAGGTAAGACATCCCTCGGATCATAGAGATCTTGGCGTGAGAGTCTCTAAGCCTTAAGCACTCGAAATCCTAGAAGAGAAGGCGATGAAGAACAAGAAAACACAAAGCTTTAACCTTTTCAACCTTTTCGAATCGCCCCGACCCCAAAACCCAATAAGACTACTCGCGATTCATAAAGAAAACCGATGAAAGCATAAAAGATGATCTATTAAGCATGATTAACAAAGATTAAAGCGAGATGTTCAATATTCAAAAGTTAAAATGCAAGAAAAGCTCCCAAAGTCTACAATGGCCGATTCGCCTAAAAACGAGAGAGGAAAAAAAAGGTAGAAGACAGAATGGGGATCATGAAAGGGATCGTTGCCTTTTACCAAAAATGGCCAAACCGCAAATGGTCCCCCCTTCGCTATGGTCCAAAGCCAGCTGGATGGATAAGGTTGGTCTGGGATCGAGCACGAAGCTCGATCTGGCACTCGATCTTGTCTTGGATCGGATGGCTCTTAGTCGATCTTTGAGTCGATCTTGTGTTGATCGGGTTGGAAGCTCGATCTGGTCTTCGATCTGCATGGCGTCATTTACGTCCATACTTCAGATCGATCCCCACACTTGATCTTGGTCTCGATCCATCTGCTTGGATCGACTTGATTACTCGATCTTCTGGTCGATCTCGTCTGGATCGACCTGCCTTGCTCGATCTGCTACTCGATCTCGGGTCCCAAGCATGCAATCCTGATTTCTCCAAGTCTCCACAAACTTCCTCTAGAGCCTTAGCACGTCCACGAATCTTCCATAGCTCCAAAGTAGCCGAAAACAACCTGAATGCGATGCAAAATGCAAGAAACATGCAAATGCTGGTGCAAAAGTACTCTAGGACCTAAAGTGATGCAAACTAGCCTAAAGTGCAAGGTAAATGCATGAGAAACTATCTTATATGTATGCAAAACACATGAGATATGCAGCAATATCAACTCCCCCTTGCTTGCCCTCAAGCAAACAAAATTCAAGAAGGGAAAGAGGTTTTAAAAACGGGGGTTTAAGCTTCTTGCAAATGTGCCTTTCAAATGAATCAATCTCAACGTCCTAGTTACTAATTCTAAGACGCAATGCTCACACTCATACTCCAAAGAACTTAGCCATACTCATCACACAATGAATTTCAAATCATGACTCTCCTATTCCAAACAATCAAAGAATCTCATCCTTTAACATTCATTAATGATCAAACCGTGAATCAAACTCATGCACTTTAAAGCAGAACACATTTGGCTAAGGGTGAAGGCTATGAGCATAGAATGATCTCATTTTAAAAAGGGTTTCACAATGCAACGGGTTTCTCTCAAGAATAGTGTGAACTTTATGCATAATGCTAAAGGTAAAGGCAATTGATGCATACATGATCAGATTCTCATCTACCCATACGCTAATCAATCATCCTAAAACCCCTCTCATTTCTTTTATTTTTAAGCTCACTCACCCTCTTAGATACTACCCTTATCAACAAAGCATTAGCTTAGCAAACTCCAAATCAAAACAGAAAATATCTTTACTCTTTATGCTAGTGAAAAGGCTTGAAAACATTTTAGCTCCTTATTCTTTTTCTTATTGATAGCTCTCTATTCTTTCTTTTTCTTTTCTTTTCTTTTTATTCGGCACTAAGGCTCTTTTCTTTTCTTTTTATTTTACTTGAGAGAGCTATCTTCTGAAATACTTAGAGCTTTATACATTTTGAAAACAAAGCCTTTCACTTAAAAACCTTTTAATCGCTTCAATCACCAAGACTTTTTTTTGAAACCGTAAGCATATAAACAAGAAAGCAATCCCATCAAACCTCCAAACTTATCCTAAGCCTATAACTAGCTTCAAAATGCAAAGCTAGCAATCATATGAGAACCTAATCATGTCGCCTAAACGTAACACGTTATGCTAAGTTCAAACCGAAAAGAGGCCTTACAATGATGTCACACAAGAATACTTGGCTTGAAAGAAAGGTAAGGGTAATGGTGGGAGTTCTACTTAGGCTCACAAAGAGTGGTAAAAGGAGGAAGAGAGCCTAAATATGTGTAAGATCCATGTGTTCATTTTCAAATGCATAAGAATGATATTTAAAAATCAGGTTCGGGTTCTCACTTATTAGGACAAGTTTCAAATCATGAATGTTCAAGTCAAGCCACGAAAATCAAAACAAGTGATCCAAGCATGGTAAAGACTTACTTTCAAAGTGTGAGCAAAGCATTAGAGAACTACTAACTAGGGCATTGAAACAATTCATGAGCTTAAAACACCTTTTTAAGAAAATTTCAACCCCTTATGCAAATGTAAACAACCTAGATGCTTAAAAATTTTAGACTCAATCCTAAAATGTTTAACAATGTGAATGCAACTACATGAATTTTTTTGAAAAGTTTTTAAAAATTTTACCAATTTTTTTGTTCTTTTCTATGCCTTAGATGCAATGAAGACTCAAGGGATGCAAAGAGAAGATAAGAGCAAAATAAACATGTCAAACCACACACATACTCCCCCAAACTTGAATGACACCGTCTCGGTGGCAAACAAATTCGAGAGAGTTCAAAAACACAAAGAAAAAACAAAGAAAATATGAGTGGTATGTACAAGGATCGGTTGTTGGTACCTTGGAGCTAAACTCGGCTGGAACTTGAGGATGTTCCAGCGGAGCTGCTCTTGCTAGAGGAGCGTCGTGCTATGTCCTTGCCTTTATCACCGGTTGGGAAACCATGGACGGAATGACGTGCTTGTTGCGTGCTGCCTTGCGGTTCACGGATGACAACACCGCCAGTCGATCTCCTCCTCTTCTCAGGCTGCTCGACCTCTACACTCATGGACTGCTTAGACTTTGCGGACGAGCTCCCTTGAAGCGCCTTGAGTTTCTTGGCAAGCTTCTTGATCATCTTCCCTTGCCACTTAGTTATCTTTCGCTGCACCTCCACCACTGAAGCAAGAAACTTCTCCGCCTTTGTCCGTGGTTCCAAGTCCATCCTGGGAAGCTCAAAGTGGGCTGGCATTGCGCCATCTGAGGGTGGTGACTCTGACTGCTCACGCACGGACTGAATAGGCATCATGGTTTCACCACGTGGGGCGTAACACTCTTTGTGGGTTGGGCAAAACTCGATTGTACCGATGCTATCCAAGTGTGTTTCATCAACGTTGGGCAAGATGCACACACTCTTCTTCTTCTCTTCATTGTAGAACAGATAAGCAAAGAATCCTGGAGCTGGCGTAGGTCCCAAGCTATCTGTATTGCGCATGTAGGTTTCGTCCATGAATGCTCTATCCGCGCAAGGCTCGAAGCGTTGGAGAGGTACACCGGCTTGGATGAAGAGTGGCGTGAGGAAGCCTCCAATGTATGCTGAACTCGCCTTGCACCTCAGAGCGTATGATTTGTACTTCACCAATGAGGATGCTAGAATACACCCGTAGTTAACATCATTCCCAAGGTCATCCATCAGCGGATCGTGGTTCTCTTCTTCGCTGCTGCACAGTATCCTTTTGATCCCATGGAAAAGGAAGCACAACTCGGTCTTTGTCACTGTAGGAGACACGGCCCGCCCGCTGAAAGTGTTTGCTAACAGCTTGAGAGTATACCTCAGAACGGGGTTCCTTACTTTCTTGATCTTAGCCATGTTGGCTTTGTATTCTTCATCACAAAGCACGTCCCATATGATGCTGGCGTTCTTGAGAGGGAGAAACTCCACTTGCTTAGCTGCGGCGTTGAGTCCATATGCTTGGCAAAGCTCCTCAATGGAAAGGTGATAAGACCGCTTCTTGACCTTGAAGGTGAGATGACCTTGTGAAGGAGTGGGAAGGCTCGGATTCTCAAAGGAAAACGCCAAGGTGGAGAGGAAATCCAAGGTGACTTGCGGATATGTTGGGCAATCCATCCTTGAAAGGCATACAAGCCCCATGTCTTGGAGAAGAAAGTCAAAATCTTCTAGAAGACCCATTCTTGCCAACAAGTCTCTACTT